AAATATCTTCTACGCGTTATATTTAAAAATTAAAAACAAAATTATTAAAAAGATTAATTTAAGAATATTTATTTAATTTTACATGCGTATATACATAAAAATATTTCAATAATGACTTTATTATTGCTATCCGTAGTATACACTGAAATGAAAAAAACATCACGCTAATAAAACATTAATAAACCCCTAATATTTATTATTAGCAAAGTAAATTTTCATTTTTCAAGAGGAATAAAATTATGTGATGACAGTTGTTTACAGCGAAACAGCCAATCGGCATCACAGAAAAGGAACAACAATAAACTTTGAGACTTTCGAGAAAACTTTGATACATTTCAGTATTGATTTAACATGCCTTTTTTAAGAATAGATTCGTCTCTCTCTTTCTCTCTCATCTATTATCTTATTCACCAAAGAGAACATTTCGTATCCGGATTCATTCCTTTTCCTGCCGGACAATTGTAAGTTGCAGAGAATTCAGGGAAATTCGAGAGGCTACCTCGTATTCTTATTTCCGGCCTAGGATGCTCGTCCAGCAATAACACTTGTGTCTGTTGCGGCGTGACATTCTCACAGAACACCTGAAAAAAATTAGATTACGGCAGTAACAACTTTGATTCTACTTTTTAGTGATTGTCTGTTCAATAAATTTTTTAGCATCGCATTTGCATATTTCATTACACATACATGCGCAAAGTTCATAAAGAAGATCTGATTGTCGCTAAACTCCTCGAGTCCTTGCAGTCGTATTTCAGACTTGTTCAGTTTTGCTTTTTTGTGCTGATATGCGTAATACGCGGCCACAACGCCAGCGGAATCGCCGATGTTCTCTCCTAGCGTCAATTGTCCATTCACCTGCAAAATTTTGCCAATATTATATTTAAAAAAATCGATATAAATAAGAAAATCGTAAAAAATATCATTCAGATGTTAAAGTGTAATAAAAAAATACTTGAAAGGAAGTGTTGGAAATATTGAAAAAATTAAGAGACGATCTCTGTAGAAAGATTAGGAATATGATTTCTGCTGAACGCAATTACTTACATGAATGTTTGATTCCTCCAAGTCTGGCGCTAAATAACTGTTGTACTGGTCAACAAAACATTGCGTTTTTTGCTCGTATTTGTCGATAGTATACTGTGTCCACCATTGTATGGCATTGCCGTTTTTGTCATATTTACGACCTGCAAAAAAATACATTATACATACCACTATATTTCACATTGTCATCAAAAAATTACCGGTATTATCGAAGCCATGATTAATTTCGTGTCCAATGACAACGCCTATTCCTCCATAGTTCATATACCTGGTAAAAAGTTAAATTAAAGAGCAGAATGCAAATAAAAAAACAGCTATTGAGTAAAAAACAGCATTAAATAAAAAATGAAACAAAAATATAAAAGAGATATCTTCAATTAAATTTCTCGCGAGAAAATTGTTCTCTTTATTTTAAAAATTTATTAATATAAATACTTACGCAGGATGATTTTTATCATATACAGGATCTTGCGATATGGCTGCAGTAATAACTAAAATTGGCAAAATGAGTTGATAATAAATTTCACGATTTATTAAAATATACCTATTTAATAAAGGAAAGCAAAAATAAAAATTCGAAAAAACTCACCGATTTCATTGCCAGATGGATTGTAATAAGCGTTCACTACCGTCGGTTCCATAAACCACCTGTTACAAAGAAAAATAGTATTATTTATGTTTTTGGATGTTTCGCCCTTATTTCAATTCTCTAAAGAGTTTGTTGTATAGTTATTAAATCAAATAAATTTGAATAAATTATATATATATATTTATATTACATTAAGTAAAAGGAATTGTAAGTCTCACTCGTTTTTGTCGACGGGCTTCCTCAGCTTGCTCAACATTGTTTTAATTTCAAAGTTCATTATATTTATTACACTTCCGAGATAGTCCCACGTGACAGTTAACTGAAACACATATATAATTTTTTTGTATAAATAACAATACCTGTTTTATACAATATAACATTATTCCAAGAGAATGATATATCAAATTCTTTTATCCATTATTTATAAAATATTATTAACTTATCAATGTATATTTACGCCATTGTAATATTTGTCAATAGCTTTGTTGCTGTACCAATCTGGCGTGAGAACTTGCATTCTCATATAAGACAATTTTTCGAGAGATGCCTTCTTCGTAGCCTCGTCCATCCAAGTAGACGCTGAGATTTGCTCACGGACAACATCTTCGATATTCGTGATTATTTCAATGAGCTAAAGTAAACGATTTGCGTAATTTATTTATGAAAGTTATGACATAACGAATTCAATTAATTTCGTCTTTTGTGTTTTTTTTTTAACTAACACAGACTTACGTCTTCTTTATTTCCGTGCTTGACGTATCTTTTGGCGTATTCGTGCGAGATGGCCGAGTTTAAATTGGCTTTGTTTACACAACTCTTCCACCTTGATGAGTTTCACTTAATTAGCACTTAATTAGCTTCGTCTGCATTGAGTTATTGGATACAATAACAATGTTAGAAATGATTGGATGTGAACAAATAATTTAGCAAAATAAATTTAGAAACAATTTTTACAGAAATTAAGTAAGTTAAAGATAAAATTTAGCTATAGACAAATAATGAAATGCAACATTTACGATTTATAGTGATATAATATGTCGTGTCTTTCTTGTAATAAAAACGAATTAAAATTTTGTACTTTATATACTGTTATTGCATCAAATTTCTCAAATACCATATATTGTTGATAATAATAATATACGTACTTCAAATTATCCTCCTTTTCTCCCTTAAACTCTTTGGCAAGTTGGACAGCAATTTTTTCCGTACGTTCGGTGTAAGGTAATAGAGCTCTGATGAGATTCCATTGCATATAGTTGACTACAAGCGTAATCAGATTGTCGAGATAATTAGAATTTTTTATCTAATAATTCATAGCGTCCTTTTAAACATCTCAAAAATCTTACCGATAGTACGAGTAGGCGTTTGTTCTAGTAGCGGTACTAAATTAGTAAGGTATTTATATGCGTGAACGACAAGTTTCTCGGATGATTTAATTCTTTTTGGCGCGAACAATCTTCGAATACGTTCAAGCCAGTTTATCTGCAATGCAAGTAAGAGAATAAAATATAAATAAAAAAATTAATAAATGTAGAATAAGTATTGAGAAAATAAATTCAAAGACCTTGCCCTTTACAGGACGTTGCGCATCATAGGCTTGTTGCAATTGTTTGATTGTTAGCGGATTGTAAACTTTATCAATGTCTCTACTATCTTCGAGGCTTAGTGTCAGCTGCAGCAGATAAAATAAACAAAACAGAGTAATAAATCGATGCAATCGGCTTCTAAAGTTTTTACATTAAATAGATTAAAATAGTTTTTGCTTCACTTAAAAAGTCATCAGATGGAGGAGAAAGATAATCTCGCGTAACGTTAAGAATATTTTCGATATAAAATATTTTTGATATAAAAGTACATGGATTGACAAGATATCGATGAAGAAAAGAAAAGAAATTTTAAAAAACAAAACAAGATTAATCCAAATGTTAAAATCTCAATGCAGCGAGAGATCAATAACAACACCTTAGCCAATTCAATCTCGAAATTTGCGACATCAAGCGTTTCTCGATCTAATGTCGCCTCGTCAACGTACGAACCCTGTTCGTTTATAAAGATGTTAGCAACTGTTTTGATAATGGATTTATACAACATCAACTGCTCGGGATCCTCGCTGAGACCGATCACGATGTCGCGCGGTGCGAAGAAGATAGGTTCCAAGATCTGGAAAAATACAATAGATTGTATAAAACTGTTTTTTCCTTTTTGCCTCGTGCAAAATTTTCTAAGCTTAGTTTTTTTCCTCAAACAATCGCGAGCGATTGCAATTACTATTGCGAAAAAGATATTCTTATATATATAATTATAATACTCATGGAAAAATTGTATCCAATGATGTAATAAAATATATTAACACTATTATATATACATGATCGCACATAGATAGTACAATCAAGAATCTTATATAGAAAACGTTTATGTGAAATGATGTGGCAAACCACTTGTCCAAATATTACATATACATATACTTTCGACGCATTTACTTGATACTTTTGTACGTATATTGCGCAAGTGTATATAAAAAAATTTTTGATCTCCGCTCAGATCTGAGAGAGAAAAAAGAGAGAGATACTTTATTCAGTTAATTAAAATCATACCCTTAAACAGTTGGATGATTCAAATTTTATTTCAATTTTGATATTATATATATCTTAAAGATATATCATGTAACACACACATATTCTTTTATTTTTTTCTTTTCTTTTAACTTATTATATATTTTAAATCACTTTGTAACCCTCAAAACTTAGAAATTCCGTCCTGAAATCATTTTTATAACATTTTACTATGAGTGTTTTTAATTATATGTACGTCCTAATTCTCTCTTCTCCAAAAGAAATTAGGCATAGGGTATGTCAATGATATTTTTCATATAATAATTTCAAACGGAAAAATTCAAACAGTGTTTCTTAATCCATGTTTTGTATTTCGCGTTCTTTACAAAATGGAAGGAGATTAAATTATCATAACAGCTAAATCAACATGCATGATGTTCGTGTTCGTACATCCACTTCTCCGCTTACAGACTATTAAAATGACAAAGATTTCATAAGTGTGCGAATAAATATGTACATCATTAATGACAATCTGTCTTTTTGCGCAATAACTAACGTCAGTTTTAAGATGATTAAGAGATCATCTCTTAATCGCAATGTCATTAACAGCTTTTAAAGTACTATTAATTTTTATTTTCTCATTCACTCATTAGTTGAAACACTTTTCCAAGAAAGAAAAAACCAGAGAAATTTTTTTATACATCAAATGTATATTTCATCTTTCGAATAATACACAGTCATCACGCGAGCACACATAAATAAAAAAGAAACATCCATAGCAAAAGCTACTCACATCAGTAAAAAAATTACATATTCAATCACATTACGTATTCAATCTCGAAAGAAAAAAAGAATTATTCTCTGTATTCTTACAATCTTATTTTAATATTTCTTAAATCAAGAATCCTCTACCAGGATAATTTAAAAAATTATTGGGTGTTTTTTTTTCATGTATTTTTATCTTATACGATGTACAAACGTGCGAAGCATACAACACGTGAAAACATCTCACACACACACACAAGCGTAAAAAGTGTGCTTACTGCAAACTGTACGCTTTCTTGAAAGCTATCGTCTCATCATAGAGAGCTTTTATATTTGTCAATTTTATTACGATGATAAAGACAATATCGGAGAGAAGTTCAACAATATTAATTACTTCTCAATATATAAACCTCGCTTTTCTTTGTAACCCGTTAGGTTTACAATTCAAGCTATCGTTCATCGATTTAACCAATGATGAGATTTGTACGATTATATATACACGTATAAAAATCCGCAATTATAGAATTTCTGTTTTCACTATATACATATTCCAGAATATGCAAATTTCTCGTACGTATTTCGCAATCAAATAATATAGAATATGCGTTAACGCATATTTGAATTCAAATCCATCTAAATACATGCTAAAAGATATGTAATTAATAAGTAATTTAATTATTAAATTATATAATTTATTTTATGTGCCATAGTTTTTTTTCCAAATATTTAATCATTCATCTTTAAAAGTTCTTATACTTTACTCTTAAATGTTTGCGTTGAACGATTATTACAATGATTACAGATTATGGAAGCAAATGGAAGATTGCAATAAAATTATCCGGCAAAGAGTAATTGCGACATTATTTTCAAATTTTATTCAAGATATGGTTTCTATATTATTTTATCAAGCATTTAAAAATAAGAAATATAATTTAAATGCATGTATACATATAAATATATAATTTACCAATAGACCATAATTCTTATCTAATCACAACGCAGAAATATTTAAAATAGTAATACAGATAGAGAAACTGAGAAAGGAGAAAATAAACCTAACAGATGTATCGAAGTTTTCTATCACCTAATAATTAATTTACCATTTTTGCATACTTAATATAAATATTATATTAAAGAGTGAAAATCATATAAAAATGTTGAAGTACAAAAATTAAGGCTATCATTATCGAGTATATTCGCTGTGCGTACCATTATATTGCAGGACACAGGATAACAAGAGATATGAGTTTCTTATACCCTCTCCTTGATAGTGAAATATGATAAGTATGAACTGTGTGTGTTTTTTTGTGTACTACTACACATGTGCGCATGTATATGAACACATATTATGAGTCTATAATTCCTATATACTTAAAGCATATCTCTTTTGTAAATATGGTACTACAAATATAATTCATAAATTCGGGAATGCGTATTAATTAACGTAAATATCAGTACAAATATTCAATCTCTTGTGTCTTTTTAATTTATTCCTATTTTATCTCCAAAAAGAGATATATATATATAATTCATGATATGCACTATATACTATATAATGGAATAAATAAATGTGTACGCGCGTGTCTTAGATAAAAAAGAAAAATTGAGTATTTCATACATACAGTACACACAAGTATATAAATGCTATTACTTTGTCATAAAATTATTCAAAGATATGTTTAAAAGTATGGTTCAATGATTAATATCTTTGTAGTTCTTCTTCAAAGAAAAAAAATGATGTTATCATCACAGTTAAAAATGCGACAAAACGATATCTAGTTATTCTCCCAATTTTTGTGCTTCTTTCAATTTATCATGTCAAAACATCTAAATATGTGCTATTGTTTTACAACAGTCTATATTTCAGTGTACAGGAGAAGTTTTAGAAAATGTATTTCGAAAAGATTGGCTTTCCAATTTTCATGAAGTTTGATCAAAAATCCCAGATGACATCTTTTTGAATAAATGTCTAAAAGATATTTTTCATGTAAAACGAGATTCAATATTCATTAGATCATATTTCTTCCGCAAATAAAAGTTTTCACCATCCACCGTTTTGTATCTTTCGTGGAACAAACTACAGCACTTACCACATTATGTATTCTGCGCAAAGCGAGGTCCAGCGCTTTCAACGCAAAGAAAGTTATTTTTTTAAATATATCTCTATTCAATTTCATTTGTGCCAAAAATCATATTAAGTACATATATCCCCGTTTTGAGGCATTGCAAAATTTCATTGCAAATAAAAGAACGGAATTTCCAGAATTCTATTAGGCATTTTAAACAGAAGTTTCAGAATTTAGTCGCAAAAGAAACTTGTTCGATTTAGGATGTGCCAATTGTTCAGTAAGATTAAAATGCGGTAATCTATGCGCCGTGCACAAGAGTGCTACTTCTCCCTGTCTCAATTGAAATTCACAACCGTTAGCGATTGGACGCGAGGGTAGCTCTCCCTCGCACACCAAAGCCCAATGATGCGATCGCTTTTGTCTCTCTTTCTCATTCGACAACACCGGGCTCGTGACGAAGAACGGTTCCAAGAATGCGCGCGGCGCCGCATCTTGGGCCAAACACCGGGCAAGACGATTAAGAATGGATTCTACAGAATGACGCGGTTGTTGTCGAGTGATTCTCAAATACTTCTGCAAAGCCCTCGCCATGGAAGGGAACACCGCCTGCGCGGCTTCCATGGGATCCATCGGTCCCGAGTTCGGCGTGGAGTCCACTTCGGAATGCAAGCGTTTGATGTGCGCAAACGCCTCCTCGGCGGCGGTGATCAGCCTCGCGCGACGTTTCCGTACCCGTCGTTCGTAATCGTGCTCCTCGTAAAAGCGTTCGTTGTGACTGGAATCACGGCGACGTGCCTGTGCCGCTAAAACTGCTCGATCCCCGCTACCGCCGCGCGATTGCATAGCGCCAGTTACTCCACCATCAACCTCGTAGAACTTGAAGCTCGACTGCTTCCTGCCCGACTTTGAGACCGGCAATCTTTCCAAGTACGGATTATAAATCGGGAATTCCGTATAGTACCTCTCCAAGACCCACACGGCCGCTCTTTGTATTGATAACTGGCCTATTGCATAGGATCTCGATTCACCGTCCGGCGATCTAACAACCTGTCAACGAAAATACCAACAAGATATTTAATTCGATAACAAATATTATAGATCAAATATTATTGACCAAAGATATATGCAACATTCATATACCTTTAGATAGAACGTAGGCTGTAAATGACGAACTTCAATAAGGAGCACAGCGACATAGTGTATAAACAGTAGCGTATCAGCAAGGGTACCTGCGTAATTTACTAAACTTTTGTACTCTGATATTTCGCCATTGGCAGCAGTCTTAGCACTCTCAGTGATCTGAAAAAATCAATAACCATGTATAATTTTACATTCCGCGCTAAACTATAAATATACATAAATTACATTCAAAATCATTACATAGATTTTCCTATATACCTGTACAACATAAAAAAGCCAATAAGTACAAATGCACAGCATGGTGAGCAGCAGCACTCCTGCTCTGAATAAAAATATGCGCGGCATGATAGCGATTCGAGGACGCAGAAACACCGCCCAGCTACCAATAGCTAGTAGCACCAGTTTGAAGGCTAATCCTAATAGTTGGCCTTTGCATTCAGCGTTGCACGATAGTAGCTGTAATTTCTGCTGCATCGTCAACACTGTTGTTGAGTCGGGAAAAAATCCCAATTTAGGCAAGATCACCATGGCAATAGGACTAAAGAAGGCGCTTATTCCGAGTATCATCGCTACGACCGGACCGACATAGCGATTGCAGCTAGAACCAAACGATCCATCGGTCTCGTTTGGCCAGTGGCTTACATCCTCGGTCGATTCTGATCTATCTGAGGTATTGCCGGTAACGGCCGTGGTGTTTTCTCCCCAGTTCTCATCTTGTGGCAGTATCTGTACCTCGATCACCTCCTGACCCATATTATCTACGCTATCTCCCCGTACATTTACAGTTGTTTGAAACGGAGCCATTTCATTAGTATCTAAATTCTGCCTCTCTTTCCTTTGACTTCGATTGCTCCTATTGTAAAATAGAATCATATATATGTATGTGTAAAAATGTGCGAGTCTGTCAATAGTTAGTTCTAGTACTAATTGTGTAACTTGCTTTTATACAGTTATACGATGCAAAAAAAAAAGACAAGATAAAAATTCATCAAATTTACCTGGTAGTACGGTGAGAATGTGTCCTGTGATGCTGCTTCGAGCTGTGGGATCGATGATGCTTTTGAGAGCTCCTGCTGTGGTGGCTATGGCTATGCTCACTAGCCCCGGATTTCACGCTCTCCGTCTCCATTCCACGGCAAAGACTACCTGCCGCTCGCTACCCCATAAGAGCATACCCTCCTTCGCGCGCGAACAAACGGCAAGCACATACATGCGATGCAACGCAACGACACTCAATGTGATATGTGTCGTTGGGATACGCTATCGTAGCGGGTCTACGATCCAGGCATCCTCGGAACGTCGCGGCGTCGCAGCCACGTGCGCCTTTGACATTACGCTTCGATCGAAGCCGATTCACTCCGAAGGCTTGTCGCTGCCGTCGCCGCCGCTGCTGGCAGTACGACAAAAAATCGGATCGGCAAAACGACGATTCTCAATGGTTATAAAAGACGTAAAAAACGGACGCCGACACGCCTAACGTTTTATTATTCCCACCCCCTCCGTCAGGCTCCAAGCAGCCGGGCTACCACATTCCGTGATAATTGCTGCGACTGAAAACACTGTGGTTCGTCCCTAGGGAAGTTTTATCCCGATGATGTAAAAAAGCCGATGAGTGTGAATTTATAAAGACTTGTTTCAAACGTACAATCTTCGACTATAAAGGTTTTAGACCGATAATTCGTTCTAAAAATCTGGAAGAATAAAAACTCGAGATTTATACACATGAATTTTTGCAACCGGCCAATCACAGATGCGTTCCACTTGTCCCGATTGGTCGGTCAATCAAACGCTACTCTATTTTGACGAGTAAATTTTCGAACACAATCCATGTGGAGTCATGATCCTGAATGATTCTGAATGTTCGTTGATATTCGCAGTTCGCACTGACGGAACGGCAGCTGTAAACGACCGCACGTTCGTTGATTGTATACTTGATTGTAGTATAGTATTCTATACTCACAGTTTCTTCCGCGCTATTTAACCGATTCTCCGGGTTTGTTATCTCTCATATGACGTTCAGTGTGTGTGGAATTTTATTGCGAGACTGTAACACAGTTATTCACATTTTCCCATAGAATTAAACACTGCCAAAAAAGATGCCGAAGAGGAAGCATCAAGCACTCATAGACTCCGATAGCAGTGGAAGCGCGTCGGAGAGCGGCTCAGACTTGGATAACGTAAATAATCTAACCTTTAGCATAGCACATGAAAATTTCATCCATCCACTTTCAATCAAATGATATGGAAACAATATTTATAACATGTGTCACAGTTTTATTTGTGATGTAAAAAAGAAAAATACAATATGTTATTATATTAAAAATATACAATTTTGTTATAGATAGACATATACACATATAGACACATGCACATATACACAATAAAATTTAAAACAACTGCCATTATTATTTTTTTAATGATTTTATTTATAATAATTTGCAGTATATATCCTTTTTTATTCAAACTTTATCAGGATCTATTGTCACTGGCAAAGAAAAAGAAAGGAAAATCCCAAGATGATTCTCAGTCAAATGAAGATAATGGATCTGTTAAAAAAGATGCTAAGCATGATTCAGACACGTCAGATTCCGACAATAACTGGAGCAGCAAGACTGGAAAAACAAAGGTAAAGAAAGGTTCGACAAAACGAAGTAAACGAAAGATGACAAAGTCGAGCACCGAAGACAGTGCCAGTGAAAAAGAACCAGCAAAGCAGCTTTCGGAGCCAGAAGAAGGTATTTAAAAATTAAATCTGTTTTATGAATATATACTTTTATTTTAAATGTATGAGTTTTGTTAATGTTATAATAACTAAACAATAATTATTTTGTTGCAATAGGTGAGGTATCAGATTCTGATGTAAGTGTTTCCGACTCTAGCCAAGAAGAATTTAATGATGGTTATGATGACAAACTCATGGGAGATGCAGAGGATCAAGCCAGACTCGCTCAAATGACCGAGAAAGAACGTGAGCAAGAAATTTTTAAGCGAATTGAGCAACGTGAAATTATGAAGACAAGATTTGAGATTGAGAAGAAACTAAGAATGGCAAAGAAACAAGAATTGAGAAAACAAAAAGAATCAAAAAAGAAAGAGAAGGGTGGTGAAGAGAAACAAAAACTAGACAGAGCACCAGATCCTAAAGAAAGAAGTAAAGATCGTAAAAAAACGATAGAAGAAAAGCAAGATAAAAAATTCCATGCAATGTCATTGCTTAAAGCCAGACGTGAAGAAAAAAAAGAACGAGGTAGCGCATTTTACACATTATTAATTTTTTTTACCTATCTTACACATTTTTAATGCTCTTCTTCTCTTGATTAGAGGAAAAAGAAAAACAGAGAATAGAACAGCAGCAACAACAATCAAAAGATATAGAGGAAGAGGAATTGGAGAATGATCATAAAGGTGGAAACAAGACTAAACTTAAAGCATCTGATATATATTCCGATGATAGCGGCTCATCGGACAGTGCAGAGGAGGAAGAAGAAGTAACTAAACCAACGTCTCACCGCAGGTCGTCCTCTAGTGAAAGCCGTGATTCGGATTCTGATAACGATAAAAAGTTAGTTGTTTGTCTATTTTATGCGCAAATAGAATCTTATATATGTTTTTTTAGAATTATATTTATATTTAATATCATTATTTTTCAGATCGATTACTAGCAACAAAACTAAACCGAAGAAGCCAGTATATATCAGTACTAAGGAAGACTTAAACAAGATTCGATTGTCTCGTCATAAAATGGAGAGATTCGTTCATTTACCTTTCTTTGACAGAGTAGTGCAAGGTTGTTTTGTCAGGATTGGAATCGGTAATAATAACGGTAAACCTGTCTATAGGGTAGCTGAGATAAGCGGTGTGTGCGAGACCGGAAAGATTTATCAACTCGGTGGCACAAGAACGAATAAAGGATTGAAATTGCGTCATGGTGCGCAGGAACGTGTATTCAGGTTGGAATTCGTCTCCAATCAAGAATTCACAGACTCGGAGTTCTTCAAGTGGAAGGAAACATGCGCGCTGCAAGGAATTTCTGTGCCAACGTTTGACGAAGTAGAGCAGAAATTAAAGGATATTAATGAAGCATTGCTATATGAATACAAAGAAGAGGATATAGAGAAGATTGTCCGAGAAAAAGAGAGATTTAAGCAAACACCCTATAATTACGCGATGAAGAAAGCTCAGCTCATGAGAGAACGCGATGCGGCTAATTGCAGAGGAGACGACGAGACTGCTAGTCGCCTTAATCAAGAATTAAGTGAATTGGAAGAACGCGCATCGGAATTGGATAAGATGCGTACAGCGACGATTTCCAGTATATCGTACATAAATGATCGCAACAGAAAGAAAAATGTCGAAGAAGCTGAGAAAGCTATAATGGTAAATTTTAGAATATACTATGTGTGCTATCCTCTATTTGCTATCAGATTTCAATTCATCATTTTCAATCAATTTCAATTAATTGAGGTTGATGTAATAATAGGAAGAGCTGAAGGCTAACAAAGGTAAAAAAGTCGACGACCCATTCACCAGGCGAAGTACTAAGCCAAGGATGGTATTTAAGCCGGAAGATGAATCTGAGGTGGTAAGCACGGTTCCAATAAATGACAAATCAAGTCCTCGTCCGGCTGTCGATTCGGTATCGACCGCTAATGATAAGGAGAATGGACAGGAGTCTAAAAAGAAGCAGAGTACAGAAGATTTGTTTAATGCCCATGATTTCGATATAACAATCGATTTGGAAGTTCCTATTCCAAGTAAGCTTTCATATAACAAGAAGCGTATTATAATTATAAACTTTTATTCGATAATTAATTAATAAAAAGTAATTATGTAGCTCATAAAGAGAGTACAATTTATATTGATATCTATGTATAATTTTATTTCTAGATAACCCTGTTAGTGTTTTACCGAAGCCTATTAACAACATCAAGGATACAGGACCACGCCGATCGTTAAATTTAGAAGATTATAAAAAGAAACGCGGTCTCATCTAACAGTTCATACGTTTTAGACATCGTAAAAACATAAGGTTAAGTTGTGAGGGTTGTCTTGTAATAATTAAAAAACTTAACCTCGTGTATCGAATGCTCTGGTTTATAGTAGGAATGAAGATATGTTCTTATAATGATGACTGAGAAACTAGATTATTTATATAAAACATATTCGTGGTATATTATATATTATATTATTGCTAATGGCGCGCGATTCTATTCTGTTTAATACATTGAGTGTTGGTGATGGTTTGCTAATTTCATACAAAAAATTAGCTCCGATAACACTGTATTATAGTTTTATAATAAATAAAGGAATGTTAAAATGAAACCGATACTTGATAGTTTCTGGATAGTTTCTTATAATTTTGCATCACACAGGCTAATGTTCAGATTCGTAAAAAAACGTCAGTACCGCTATCTATATTATCATCATAAACACTCAATGTATTAAAGATCTTTCCAACTAAAAAGGTTCCAATGCAAACCGGTTCCTATTGTGTACTCTAAGTAATGACATTGCATTTTGTGCACGAAGAATATAATTACGCAAGTAATGATTAGAATTGTTCTTTGATAGTTACAGTACTTAAAGGAAATAGCGGATGTACTGAAAAAAATACGATTTTACGCTTTGTCTTACATGTTTCAATACTATAGAACATCCATATACTTAAATAAGAAAAGAGAGAGAAAGAAAACACACATAAAAAAGAAGAAAGGTATGTACCTAATAATGAAATCATTTGCCAAATATGATTCAACTTTTTACATATAAAAATACTGTTTGTACAAGAATTAATTACAATGACAGTATGTAGCGCACAGAACAATTTTATTTTACACGACGGAATTAAATTTTCATTAAGTAGTAATTTTATCAGGAAATGGAACGTATATAATTAATGTAGATATCAATGCTCTATACTATATCTTTTGCAAACATCACAACTACATCACATCACATTTGTATGTATCAATTGCACATATTTTTTCTATATGTACTAATACTGTTGATATAGTTCTCTCATTGAAGTACACTATATTTTCATTTTAATATCTATCACAGTTTGTACTGCTGATATAATTTTTATATTTTTTTATTAAAAAATATTGTGTAAATATATGAGGTTTTGTAACTACGATTTTTGTTATTTTAAGCTCTAGACATTATAACTAATTAAACTAGGTTATATAATGTATTATAATAATTATAGTCTATTATTAATTACTTATTTTTTTACAAGTTTAATACCGTCGACAAATATTGATTTGACCATACATTACGATTTCGTAATCATATACATGATTATGACATATAGAAAGTATATGCGTGAGAAATTATACATTGTAACTTTACAAAATAAGAAATTTTGTTACTTGTACTGTTTCATTTTTCGAAATTGTATATACATATATATATTTAGGAATATTCTGTATCTAAACGTAGATAAGAAACTTTACATGGAGAAACATACAGTTCTTTTTATTTATTTGATAAATTACTATTTCTCTGATTGAGAAAAATTATCTTAAAAAGTGTAATCATGTAATCAATGCCGAACGTTTTGTAGTTGTAAAAAATAATCTATATTTGTGTAATATATTCTTTGTATGAAATATTTACAAAGCAATGTTATAGAATGCTAAATGCTAAGATGATAGGCATAAAATTTGTAATACTCAGATAAGCGATAAGGAATATAAATTGAAATTGTAAGATAAATTAAGTTCTCACATAGGTATTATATTTTTAGTAATATGCCAGATAAATACGAGTAGGATGCAATATTTGCAGTGTATTATTAATATCTTTTTAATCGGTGATACGTACGTTATTATAATGTCTAAAATGGACTTCATTATATTTAATTATACGTTTCCTTTATTTTTACGTTTTATGATAGCACATTTTATCATAGAAGCATGTGAGTAAGTCTGCAATACTGGCAATATTACATCGTTATCGAAATCTGAGAGATGTATTATGTTTGCATAGGAAATATTAGTTTTTTTTTTTTTTTT